AGAAAGTCCATGGCCTCAAGCAGATTCGTGACGCAGGTTTTTTTATTGACGAAGCCGTGCTGGCAATCGGCAATAAGTTTATGAGCTACAAGGTGCTGCATGATCTTTTCTTTAACAATTTTTTCCATTATTTTGCATGGTACTGAGGTGATGGAGATAGGCCTATAGTTTTCTGGGTCGAGTCTGGAGCCTTTTTTGAACAGTGGCGTCACGTTTGCCGAGAGCCACGCTTTTGGGACTACACCTTGATCCATCGATTTCTGAAAAATGATGGCAAGCGGGGTAGCCGCCGCATCAGCGCATGCTTTAAGCACAAATGGACTGATACCGTCACCTCCAGTTGATTTATTGGCGTTGAGAGCAGATAGGTGTGAACGGAATCATAGCTGAAGATGACGGAGGAGATTAAGGCGGTTGTACGTTTAACAAAGGGAGGTAGTTGTTGATCTGATGGTTCAATTGTGAATACTGACTGGAACTGGCTGTTAAGTATATTGGCTATGGATGCGTGGTCGCTACTTATTTCCCCAGCGGGTGAGCACATAGAAGTTATCTGGTTACTGACGGCGCGTTTGTTGTTTACATAAGCGTATAGACGCTTAGGGTTCCATTTGTCGCTAGCTAATTTGTGTTCAAATACTCTAATTGCAGTGCAGGAAGTTTTTTTGACAAGGTTTCGAGTTTGGTTATACTCTTTGACAAGAGGAATGATTCGCCATTTGCTGTTGCGGTTGAGGTACCAAAGTTTTTTCTTACGTTTAATTAGTAAAAAAAGTTCGCTGGTTAGCCAAGGCTGCCTGTGTTTGGCCAATTTAGAGGTGACACGCGGAATAAATTTGTCACATAATTTGATATAGTAGTCACAGAATATTTGATAACGTTCGTCGGCATATCGGTCTTTAAATAAACTAACCCAATCAACTTGGGAGAGTTTCTCGTTTAAATTCGCGTAATTACCTCTCCTGTATATAAATTTTGAGATGTTAAAACGGGGAGAGTTACAGACGTTTTTGGCTAGCTGGTGTTGCCATGTCATAGTGCAGTGACCTTGCGAGGCGCTACCAAGAGGAGGACCGATAGTAATATGGGTTAATCGTTCGGTTGTTTCGGTAATTACAAGGTCTAGTGTATTTTTGAACAGACCGTTCGCTTGGATGAAGGTGGGATTGATAACGTGCTGGTGTAGATGTAGGTCAAAAATGGTTTTGGCAAATTTAGTGCCAAAATTAGTTTCAGCGCCGGTGGTATTGGTCCAGTTGTCGTGCCATATGACGTCGGGAAAGTTGAAGTCACCGGTGATTATTAGACCATTAAACTTTTTGTTTTCTACGGCCGATTTGGCGTAGGAGATAGCTTTTACTATTTCGTTAAATGCCAGAACATTATTGGTAGGTGGGCGATAGATGCAGCCGATTAGGAGAGATTCTTGTGGGAGTTTAAGTTCGGGCCAGATCTGTTCTGAGAAATCGCATTGGAAACCGATGTGAAGTTGAGAGTAGTCAATTTCGTTGGCAATATATTGCCAACGAAATTGACTACTCTCAACTTCACATCGGTTTCCAATGCGATTTCTTAATAATGCTGTTCTTGACATATATGGCTACTCCTCCTCCACGACTAGAGCGATCTTTTCTAAAGAAATTGTAGTTGGGAATAGCTGGTGCTGAGGATTTGTTAAACCATGTTTCAGTGATAAAAATGGTGTCATAATCATAGAGGGACGTTGCTAATTCAAGTTCGGTGAGTTTATTAGGATTTAGAGATGTGGCGTTTGCATAGAAGCAGTTTAGTAAAAATTTAGAAGCATTGCTATGTGAAGTGGGAGAAGACAAATTTTTAATTATATGAAAACGGTCATGAGTTGATGTTGCGACTTCTCATTGGTTGGTTTGGGCCGCCGCGAGCGCTCTTTTCCAGTTGATGAACGGGTGTTTTTCCAAGCCATTGATGTTGACTTTTTTGCTAACGTCGATGCATTTGACTCAGTCGCTGCGGAGGACAAAACGAAAGGGCTGATCAAATTTACCGTTTGCTTTAAGGCCATTGTTGAGCTTAAACTTTTCGTTGTTCAACTTGTTAAATAACTGCTTATTGAGTAAATAATTTCTGAATTCCTTAATATTAAATTCAGTAATGTGCCTTTTTATTTCTGTTAGTACTTTGCTTTTATTTTTATTTTTTATAAAAATCAGATATAAAATTGGAAAGTGATCGCTTATATTGCTTTTTATGATTCCGCTTTGAATGTTGCATGCTGTAAAAGTGTTTGTAAAAATATTATCAATGAGAGATTTGGTTTGAAGAGTTACACGAGTAGGCTTTTTTATTTAGGGAATAATTTTGTATTGAATAAGAGAGTTTAAGAAACCTTTTACGTTGTTATAAGTTTTAACATTAAGAAGATTTAAAGTCGCCCGTGATGTAAATTTGTTTATTTTTACTTCTTTTAAATACCGTTTTAAGTTTTCTTCAAAAGATTTTTTATTTCCGCATGGTGGTCTATACAAAGCAGTTATTAAAACGTTTTTTTTTTTATTGTGGTTTAATAATTCAATAGTTATCTATTTATAATCCGCATTTTGAAAGCTGAAAATTTCTATTTTCTGGAAATAGATTGACTCGTGAATAAATTTGCATACACCGCCGCTAATGCCACCACCTCGAGTTTGGTGGGTTGCTTTATAACCTGGAATTTAAAAATTATTTTTTTCATTTTTGCACCATGTTTTAATTAAGCATATTACCATAAACTCAAAATTTACATTTTTTAGCATTGATTTAAAGTTTTCGAAGTTTATATCATACTACGTATGTTTGAAATTAATGTTGAAAATAACGACTGTGACGCATTCATGTGGTTAGAAACTTCCTCAATATCAAAATAGTTTGAGTTGATTATGACGTCCTTAAAAAAGTTTAAATCTGGATCAATAACATTATTCAGAAAAAGTGTGTTTTGTTTATTAAAAATTTCAAAAGAATTGTTGCATTTAATTTTTTAGCCATTTTTATTATTAAAATATGCAAAATTAAGATTAAGAATGATTTCTAGGTTAAGATTAAAATTGTTTTCTAGCAGTATCATTTCGACTTATTATAAACATTTTTATAAAGTATATGCATCTTTCGTTTAAAAAATTAATAATATTTGGGGTTTCAATTTCTTTAGCAGCTTTCATCTTTTGGTCTATTAAGTGTTTTATGAAAATTTAAACTTTCTTTTAAGTCCTTTATATCGTTTTCCAATAATTTTTAAATTAATAAAATGTAATTTATATTTTAGACTCAATAACACAAACCTCAAAAATTTCATTTAATTTTGTAAAAAAAAAAATCAAATAGTTGTCAAACATTAACGGTATACAGACTTGTCAAGTTTATTAATGTTCATATTAATCAAGATGAATCAGAGGATAAATAAATTCGAAGAAATTATTTTATGGAACAGACACTATAGACACTAAAAAGAATATATGCTGTAAAAAAAAAATACTTTAATCATAGCAGTGGGAAAAGCCAACAACAGATGGTTAAAAAATGGTTAAAATTGTTTTTAAGTACACATTGAAAGATTGATTAAAAAATACAAAAACATTACAATTCAATGAAAAATAAAAATCCTGAGTAAACCGCCTCATAGTTAAAACAAATGTTACCCAAGTGCTATAAACTTAATGAAAATTATATAATTCGTACTTTCATTTTGGATGATGAAGCTTTTTATACTTTATGTAACTGTACACTTACTTGTAACAATCGATTTTTCACAGATAGTGTTAAAGATTATGCAGAAAATGAAATTTAAATTCAGAGTTAAAGTCAAACTGCCCGTCATAAAAATTGAATAGTGTGTTTTAGCCTGACCACAACATCTCTTGACAGTGAAAAACTTAACTTACATGATAAAAGAATTCAGAACCAAGCAAATGCTCCTGCTTGTCCAATTAAAGACTTAGATTTAAAAATACCAAGTTATTTTGGATTTAAAAACATCAAGTTTAAAAAAATAATTAGGAAATCAAAAATATAAATATTTAAATAAAAATAAAGCAGGTCCAAATACGTTTGCAATGCGTTTTTGGACTTTGTATGAAAGAGAAAGAGCATCATTAGAAGAACCAGCTCAAATATGACAATAGTATTCTATATAGGGACGAATAAAAGATTTGTAGAGGTGAAGAATGGAATCTGCAGATAATGGCGAGCACGATAAAGAGATGCAACCTTGGCAGATACTAACTTTACAACCGATATATGGTTTCCATGAGAGGTCAGTAGTGAGCAATTATCCAAGAAGACGTAAAAAAGAAGACTAAGTGAGAGTGTGGCCATTCATTAATTTAAGAATATCGACAGTATTGCGATAGTTGTCTTCAGTAAATAAACCATCTCAACTACTGCCTTTTAAATCTACATTACCAACATCTAGCATCAGCATACGTTATATAGCATCTTATATCACTTATATATCACTATATCATGTCATATATCACTTTTCGTGACTACTTTTTTCACTATGGTCTTTAATTGTTTTACATAATTTTTTATTACAAGTTTATTTGCAGTTTGTTTTTGGTTTAATACTTATTTTGGTTAAACTTTAAATATTTTCCAAGTAAACTTCAGATAAATTGTTAAGTAAAAATATTGTTAACAACTGTGAAAAATGTCATACTCTCCGTTAACAACTATCAAAGTTTATTATATTTCTTAAAAGAAACTGTTAAACTTGTCATATTGTTAATAAATTTAAAAAAACTAATTTTAATAAATTACAAAAAAACTAATTTTAATAAATTCTTTAATAAAACTATCAAAATATAAAATATCTGGATTCGGTAAAATATAAACAAGTAAAAAATAATTTATAAGTTATAATTACAATACTACAGTTTTTTGCACCAAAAATTTCTGGTATGATGGTTGATTAATCTTTGGTCTATTGATTTTTGTAAAACAATTTCTGGTATGATGGTTGATCTTTTGTCTATTGATTTTTGTAAAACAGTTTTCGATATTCTCTTATTTGCTTGATTAATAATAATATTGGAATATCGGAATAGACGACTCCATTATATTAAAAACCAACAAATAATTTAACGTTTGCAATCAGTAATTAATGGACACAATCGGAACGAAAATTTAACGTTTTTAGATAAAAATCTAAAAAGAAAAAAATATTCAAACCATTATTTTTTTAATTTTTTTTTTAACAAAACAAGTAATCTTTATTTGTTTTGTCAATAAACAGACATCTTTTTCGGAAAAAGAAAACCGTTTTGGAAACTTTACAGAAGTATTTTTAACTTATTATGAAATCTTTATATTATCGTTTATTCTATTAATCTATGTCCTTTTTTAAAATTACGTTTGTAGCAATTTAAAAAGAACATTATAACTTTGTTCCTTATTTTTCGTCTTTACTTCGATGTATTTAAAAAAGTTTCTTTTTTTTTAGTACTTCTCCGACAATTTATTTATTTTTTCAATTTTATTTTTCCAAAGCTTTATTTTTTTATTTTTTATTTTTGTAAAATCAATATAAAAAAGTGTCCGCCATTCCTATAATATAAATATTTATTTATATACAATGTATGTATATATATATATATATATATATATATATATATATATATATATATATATATATATATATATATATATATATATATATATATATATATATATACATATACATATATATATATATATATATATATATATATATATATATATATATATATATATATATATATATATATATATATATATATATATATATATATATATATATATATATATATATATATTCAATTCACCTCCCCGAGGCCATGAAGTCAACTTCAGCCGAGGAGGCTACTTTAGTTTCGGTTACAACCCTCTCTCAACTCTATATATATTAGGGTGTGTCATAAAACAACATTTTTTGAAAATGTCTGATGATGCCCCCTAAATGTGTTTTATGAAATAAATTATTACTAAATTTAAAAAATTTTTAATTAAAAAAAATTTTTAGGGGTCGCTCAAGACATAAAACATCAGACGGGTCCCATATATTTTGATGCCCCCTAAATGTGTTTTATGAAATAAATTATTACTAAATTTAAAAAATTTTTAATTAATAAAAATTTTTAGGGGTCGCTCAAGACATAAAACATCAGACGGTTCCCTTATATTTTGAAAAAAAAGTTCTTTAAAAGCATATCATGTTGGATCTCAAAAGAAATGAAATTTTATAAGAATTTAAAAAATAATTACCCTTTTATATAAATATTACTAATAAACTAATTACCTGGAAATTACTTTTTGAACTTGTTTTTCCGAAAAATTTTTTTTTTTTTTTTTTAATTTTTATAAAATTTCAGGGACCCATAGGGACCCGTAAAATGTTTAATGGTCTTGAGCAACCCCTAACAATTTTTTTATTTAAAAATTTTTTATATTTAGTATAAATTTATTACATTTAGGGGTATCATATATATATATATATATATATATATATATATATATATATATATATATATATATATATATATATATATATATATATATATATATATATATATATATATATATTATACATACATTTATATACCAAACCTAAAATTCTAAAGATTTGCTTACAAAGTACACAGAAAATAAAAACAACTAATACATATATAAAAAATACAAGAGTAAAATGGGATCAAATGAAAAAACTTAAGAACTGTTTTTTACAGGACGAAGATACATTTATTAGGAAGAAAAAAAAAATCCATTCAAAGATGAAAAAAGGGTATGTGCAAGAAGTGCGCAAAAATTATAAAAACAGGAGGTGGCTCCACAACAGCAAATAGTTTAACAAGCAGCCTTCATACACATTTAAAAACCAAACATGCTGTAATATTATTATTAATTATTTCTATTACATATAATACATACTTATATTACATATAATGCTTTATTGTAAAGTTGGTGAATTATAATTGTACGTGTTAGATGTCATGTAAATAAACATGTTGAAAGTCACGCATTTATTTGTGATTATTGTTTAATGAATATTTTAATTGACTAATGTAATTAGAAGTATTGTCGATTAGATAAGGCATTGTGTGATTAAAGAAACTCTAATATAGTCGTTTTAAACAATGCAACGATGCAACATAAGATGTGTCAAGTGTTTATCTACGACTAAAATATGGACACTAGAGAATTCAGTACGGTATACCGGTAAACTTTTTTTCTGAATCTCAGGAGGATCATAATTACGGGTTGTTTTACTACAACTTTTGCTTTACTTTTTTTTTCCTATGTATATATTTGTTGTATGCAATTACAGGGTTTCCTACCTCATTTCGACATTGTGTCATTCAATATGGACATTGTTTTTCCGACAATATTGACATTTGTACAATTCGACAATGTTTGCATTTAATTTCGATACCGTTGCATTTGATTTCGACTGTGTCAACCCAATATTATTTAACAAAAATTTTCATCATAATATGAAAAATTTTATTCAAAATATAGAAATTGAATGCAATAGTATCAAAATGAACTGCAACTTGTCGAAATTGAATGATACAATGTCGAAAGGAGGTGATACAATGTCAAAATAAGGTTGAAAACCTTGTATTTTGTTTAACTATATATATATTTTAAATATATTATAACCTGATACAATTATAGTGTTTATATTTTAAAATGCGTTAAATTTTATTTATAAGTTGTTGATTTTACTATTTTAGTTTTATACATATGTACAAGTGACCAGGGGCGGATCCAGGGGCGGATCCAGACCATCTAGTAAAGAGAAGGAGAAAGGAAGGGGCAATTTTTAGGTTTAAATGATAAAACCTTTTTTGTTAGTCTTTTTTTGTAAGGTTATACTTTTTTCTGGCAGCAATCTTGGCTAGAATGACAGCACTTAATTGGCTTCCATTTAGAATTTTTAAAACATCCGATGAAATATTGAATGAAATAAATTTAATTGATGAACTTGAAAAATCTTCCACCTCAACACAAAAAACTGTCGATAGCGAAATCAACAGCTAGTAGTCAAAGAAATATCAGAAATAAATGGAAAAAGTTTTAGTATTACTTTGAATGAGTGGACATTCTTAAGGAACCGGTGATATATAAACAGTAATCTTCACTTGGAGTCAAAATTTTAGAATTTAGGACTTGTTCGGATCAATAGAAGTTTAGCTGAAAAAGCGTGGTTTAAATAAAAAATTGAACCAGTCTGGTTTATTATTGAAAAAGAATAACATTTGTTTAACAAATGACGGTACAGCCGTTATGAAGAAAGTAGGCAAATTAGCAATGACTGTTTTTGGTCCATGCAATTCAACTTGTAATTATAGATGTACTAAATAAAAAAACAAAACAACCGAAGTAAGATCAAGTAAATAAATTAACATTGATTCATATTGCAATACTAATATACTCGTACTAAAGAATTATGTAAATATCGAATTTGGTAAAGGGTATTCCATAAAGTACGTACACAGATTTGGTAGATAAGGATTACTTAAAAACTTACGAATGGCTACAAGGAAAGGAGGCGTGCGTGTGTGTGTTAAAGACAGCGAGTGCGTACGCGATTTGATCTCTTGTTCTCTATCTCTCCTAAAACTCAATTTCTTTTTTTTTAACAAAAACATCAAACTTCACGAGTTTAAAAATTTAATATTATATGATATAACAGAGAAAAGTCGAATTAACTAAAAAATTTTTTGTTTTTAATGTTTTGAAAAATTTATGCGTTAGGGAAAAAAGTTTCCTTTCTATGCGTTGTGCCCCTTCTTTCCCCAACAGTGGGATAGAATAGCGTTTTTTGTATTATAATTTTGTATTATAGTTATTATAATTTATTTTAGTTTTTTTGACAACTACTATTATTACTTGATTAAATATTTTTTTTAATGTTTATATTGTAATTTATTTGGAAGTGGTTTCCGTTTCTAATTTTCTTTGATCTCATGCTTTACCGATACGGTAATTCTGATACAGTATTTCTGTATTATACTTTTATAATACTGAAATACAAGTATTGATTTATCGTTCAGTATTGGGTACCTAATAAATACCTATAATTCTTGAATTAGATTCCTTTACTTAAACAATTGATTAAGCTAAATAATAAACTAATTACCTGGAAAATTTTAATGATGGGAACGTATACACCAGTGAATTACTGCACGAACAACTCATTTTCCATCCATCTAGATGAAGATATTGTGTTCACGGCATCGTCTAGAACACTTAAGCATCAAACTTTGTACAGATGTTTTCTTTATATAAAAAATATGCATGGCGCAAGACTATTATTAGTAACAAAGATGCAATTTGTTACTGTGATTATTTCATTGTTGCCAACCAATTTTAATTGTTGTTTAGCACCACGCCTGCAAACTATATGATGCTAGTCTTAATTACCAGAGAAGTCAATTTCATCGAAATTTTGCAATTGACATGTAACTTTTTTGTTAATACCTGCTTCGTAGAGAACAGGTATTAACAAGTATTAACTTCGTACTAATATGCTGAATAATTGAGCAGCATTGTAAAAATTGCTTTATTCACTTTGTCACTGCAAACACGACTTGCTATATGAGATATGGCTTTTTTTAAAGGTTTTTTGAAACATATTTCATATTAGATAAAAATCAATTTAAAATTTGTACGAAGAATTTAATGGTCAGCGTTATTAACACCATCGTTATGCGATTCCGTTTTTAACTCTCAAATTTAATCAAAATGACAAATTTAATTTTGAAAAAAGATTCTTAACCGACCCAAAAATTTATACAACCCAGGTAGAAAACAATATTGGCGTAACATTGGCACGATATTGGGTATCTTGGCCAATCTTGGGCAAGATATCCGATATAGCGCCAATATTGTCAAGCAATATTACGTCAATATTGTCTTACCAATAATGGGAAACAATAATGCGCCAATATTGGCATATCAATATTGGCCAATATTAGCATACCAATATTACCCCATTATTGTTTTACTATATTGGAATGCCAATATTAGCTTAATATTACCATGCCAATATTGACCAGTATTGATATGCAAATATTTGTGGAATATTGTTTGCCAATATTGGCTTAATATTAAACAGCTAATATTGGCCAATGTTTACATTTTCTTTTCCAAATTTCTCAATTTTA